AGTTTATACGGTTTTTAAAAACTCGCTAACTGATCATGAAACATACAATTTAGTGACAGAATCGTGTACACCTTTCTACCAAAATAAGTTTATTGTTAGAATCATTTAAGGTCGAACTCTTAGTTTGTATGGTCCGGTAACCTCTTGGAGTCGACACAATCTTATGATTTTATTCAAGTCAAGTCTAATGAAAAATGTGCATGTACGGGTAGTTCCGTCTTGGGTGGGGAATACCCGTACACTAAAAGTGTTCAATAAAACTATTCAAGTCTAATTAAAACTGTAATATACGGGTATTCTCATCTTTGACAGGCTTAAAAAAAAAATTAACAAATAATCTTTTAACGTTAAAAGCCTTGTCTATAACTATAGTAGTAACATCATGCCACGATTCAAATGCTATTGTTAGAAATTCCTTGATTTAAATATATATATATTTATATTTATTTAAATATATAATATATATATATATATAAACCTGACGTTTCCAGTTCCATACAGTGCAAGTTAGTGTTGCTATGGTAACTACTTTGACCAATCATAACATGAGAAGTTGGTAACGACTGTGTTTAAATATTATGACCTAATAACTTTGACTTAACTCTTGGAGGGATGGATCCAACAACGTCACACTTGTCATTAATTTATTTCGCACTGTGACGTTAGTATCAATTTATATTTTGTGATATCACCATGTTAGACAATAAATAAACAATAAAATGTATCTTATATTCATTTTTTTAAAATTGTCATCAATCAACCGGGAACATTCTATTGTAGTCTAATGTGATGATTGCATAACGAGTTTCATTTATGTATTTGATTTGTGTGGTTGCTCCGAAAGGGATATATGTAGTCCCTTTTGTTGCTCGACTCTTCTCATATCATTTAATCATTTTCAGATTTGTCGAGTTGTACTCAGGTCGTTCATGTGTTTGTCATCTATTCATAAATCTGTTTTATCTCGACTCCATAAGTTTGAATAAAACAATTGGGCGCAATAATAAAAGAAACACTATGGCATCAAAAGCTCTAATGGGGAAAGGGGGGGGGGGGTCAGAAACTCTAATGGGATCAGAAAAAAATAATGGGATCAGAAACTCTAATGGGATCAGAAAAAAACTAATGGGATCAGAAACTCTAATGGGATCAGAAAAACTAATGGGATCAGAATTTCTAATGGGATCAGAAAAAAATAATGGGATCAGAAACTCTAATGGGATCAGAAAAACTAATGGGATCAGAAAAACTAATGGGATCAGAAAAAACTAATGGGATCAGAACTATTACTACGAAAACGTCATAAACTCAAATGGTTTCAGAACTCTGTCAGATATTAGACATAAAATTAAGTGGCGTCTTGGACTGGTTTTTTATTGTTTTCAATATCTGTGGAATATTTGACCTAATGGTATGTTGTTTGCTTATATCTCTAGTGACAATGAAATGGTATGTTGTTTGCTTATATCTCTAGTGACAATGAAATGGTTTCACCCATTAAAAGTCATGAACATTGGACTGTCTAACATTTTTTCTCTCTTTTTTTTTTTTAAAGTTTCCGTGCACATCTCTTTGAGTTTGTTGCGGGGGTAAATACTGGTTATACTCCTAAATATTCTGTAAATTTTATGATTGCAATGATTGTGACGACAAAATCTAAACTTGAGCTTATGGGAAGTCCGAAATGACAAAGCAATAAATAAAATTGTTAAAGGTTGGGAAAGTTTAAAGAAGGAAACTGATCAATGTATATATACTACAATCCCAAGTTATTCTTTTGTTTTAAATCCTACCTTTCGAAATGTGTAAATTGATTAAAAACACTCTAAAAAAATAATGAAAACAAAATAAAATTAGACTTGTTTTAAAGCGGAAATGAAAGTTGTTAAATGGCGCCACCGTGCGGTTGAAGTCTTGTATTACTACACCGCCCTGGTATCTCTCCGTGTACCAAACGTCTATGATTTACCAACATATAAGAAATAAGAGCACATCCTTAATGAGAATATGGCTCCCATGGGTACTGTACCCTAGAATAATTTACGCTATTATGTTGCGTTGCATTATGATGTAGTGAGTAATTTTTGCATATTAAATGATGTATTGTGTAAAATTGTTCTATACAATATTGTACTGAACTGTACCGTAAAAAAAAGCTGCATTCTAGAATGATGATTTCCTACGTTATAAAGATTGTAACCTACATTTTTATACCACGTCATAGATCCAATGGTAGCCAGACACTTTTGTACATGTCTTTAAAAAAAACTGTAAAGTTCTTAAGTGAAATATCAATGCATTGTTTTAGCAATGGGAATAAAAGTTATTTCACTTCCATGCTGGTTTTTGTTGTGATCCTTCCTAATATGATGCTTTTATTAAATGAAAATCTGAAAAAGCGAATTATAATGAAACTAGAGCAGGACTTACTGTTGAATATAACCGACGTGGCTCGGAGCATGACTTAAATAATATACTTGGCTGAAATTGGAATAATCCAAGAAATTCCATTCACACACACTCACACACACACACACACACGCACAGACACTGATAAATAAAACGTTATGCCCGTAATCGTATGTGTTTACTGTCAAAGTTGAAGGACAGACAAAAGCCATATCAAGCCAGATTTATTAAATGCATCTATAAACATTTAACAAAAGTGTAAAATATATTGGGACGCCTGTAGAGATTTAGCAACTCTTTTTTTGACGTTCCACTGAATGTACGTATCTATAATAGTCTTTACCCTCTTATTGAATGTATTCCCAACAGCCCGTATCCAATAATAGTGAATGTATTTACAATAGGATTTACCTATTTAGTGAATCAATTTACATATATGCCTTACCCGCTTATTGAATGTATTCACAGTACGGCTTACCCACTTCTTGTATGACAATATAAGTTGAAGGTTACCTACGTGTATGCAACAGGCAGTTAAATGAAACTCCACTTTTCTTTTTTGGATGCACTTGGCTAAAAATATGTGTTTGAATGTGTATGCTTGGTGTCTTCTTTGAGGGGGGGGGCATACGAAAAGAACATGCTGAAATATGCTAAATTTTAATTTAAAAACAGATTCAATGATATTAACGTTAATAAATAGTTTAGTTTAAAGGCCCCATGTCTATGAATAGAGGGAAATAACTGAAATAAATTTAGACACTCCTCAAAACATGGTTGTTGTCTACCTTGTTTTTTTTTGTTTTGTTTTTTTCGGTTCTTAAATTGTGCGTCGTGACCCATTTGGGTTGGGGGGTGGGGGTCGATGGACCCTTACACAGGGGTCGCCTAAGACCATCGGAAAACACATATTTACAAAGTAGCTATGGTTTCATGGTTGTTGTCTACCTTGTTTTTTTTTGTTTTGTTTTTTTCGGTTCTTAAATTGTGCGTCGTGACCCATTTGGGTTGGGGGGGGGGGGGTCGATGGACCCTTACACAGGGGTCGCCTAAGACCATCGGAAAACACATATTTACAAAGTAGCTATGGTTGGGGGTATTAAAGGGCCGCTGCATAAGGAAGGTTGAGAACCATTGTTTTATGCAGGCTGCACTTACTACAGCGCGAATTGTCTTCACTTTTTTCGCCTTTAACACGAAAATAACTATTAATTTTTTAATTTTTTTTTTAAACAACAAAAGCTCAAAAATGCAAAATTCAACCCTTCCCCAATCCCCACAAAGAACAAAAAAAAATTGGTATATGTGATAAGTGAGTTGTGAAAATTTCATATTTACCTTCTGTATTGCTATTTTTGATCCACCTAATCAAAAGGGTATAAGTCCGTTCAGAAACGCAGTTAAGCCACCAAAAATTTTGAAACAAAAATATTTTTTTGATTTAACAAAAGTTTGACTTGAATTTTGATGGTTTACCGGGAGTACGAGTGGAGGGGGGGGGGGCTGTGACGTGCCTTGACTAAATGCTGCCCTTGGGGGGGGGGACTCATACAATTAGGCTCCATAACACACATATCGATCTATATAATGTTAAGCCCATATATAAACCCTAAAGTACCAACCGGGGTGGTCACCCCATCGCGCTGCAGGGGGGAAATTTTGACAGCTTTGGGAATCCGCAGGTTTTAAATCCATTCGTGTTCTTCAGTGAGCTAATACAGACTTTATAAAGTCTATCGTACCACAACCAGATTAAATAAAACAACCTAGCGGCGTAGTTTGACTAAATGCTGATTGAGGCTTAGTTCCAGACTTGCGATTTTTGCTTCCCCGCACACATTCATATATTTATAAAATTTTTAAAACAAATTAATGAAAGATCCCCCAAGCCAGACAACCTCTGTATAATTACACTAAAGCAGGCGTGCAAAACATACGGCTCGGTTTTCTCGTTTTAAAGTAGGCCTAACTGATTAAAATACATACATACATATTAATACATACATTACATGCACACATAAAAACATAGTTACACTGAGCCCAGTAGACAATATGAAAGATATTGATATAAATTTGATTTGTACTCATTAAACTTTTATATTTATATTAATAGTACCAAAAAATAATTTTAAAAGACTTTTTTCCTTTTGGGTACCGTAATTTAATGTAATTTACGAATTTTAAAAATTATTTTCTACTTTTTAGTGCGTTTAAACTCGTTTTTGATAGAATTTTTTTTTTAAATTTTGTATTAGATCTACCTTTAAATGAATGAAGTTTTTTGGGGTTTTTTTTTTAATATTACAGAAAAATGCATTGTTTACTTTATTTAGTATTGGACTGTTGACATCTTAATTTTCAACATTCTTTGTAAATATTATTGGTTTCGAAAAATTGTTTTCGAACAAATTACCGGATACGGAAGAAGAGAATCATTTGCATTTCATTGGTCACCTTCATTGTCGAGAGTTTGTTGCGACCACAGGTTAGCCGTCCATCCCAAGAACGTAAATTCCCTTCGTTTAACAAAAATGACCAGTGAACGAATTGGTGTAAACCTTTGGGCTTCAGGATATTGTCATCAAGGTGCTAGAGATTACATGGCAGACAATTATGTAATAAAATTTCTGAAAAAGGACACGGATCACATTGAGTTTGCATACTTCGCCATTTTCGACGGACACGGAGGCCCCGAAGCATCAGCTTTTTGTAGAGACAACCTTCTTAACGAAATAATCAAGTATGATGGCTTTTGGACCGACGACGACAAAAAAGTTTTGGATGCTATAAGAAAAGGTTTTCTTGATACTCATCGCGCCATGTGGAATGTACTTGGTAAGACTTAAGTCTTAAAGTTAAAATAAAGAGTCTTAACTTCATTCAATTTCAAATATATTTCAAAACCCACTTTTCTGCAAACATATACTATTGTTTACTTTACTCTATACTAAAGACAAAGAATAAAACCTGGAGACCGGTTTTTCCCAACGTGGAGCCCAGGCCCCACAGGGGGGCAATTTGATGGTATAGGGGAGCGATTCGAAAATGAGCTGTCTAGAGTCTAGAATTTGAAATCCATCTTGAGGCGCATTGGAAGGCCACACATAGTAGTTGTCATATTATTTCAGAATTACATTACTTTCAAACATTAAAGAAAAAATAGGAAAAAGAAAACCTTAAATCTGTTTACTGCTCATACTGCGACTGTCAATCGTACGCTTGAGGCTAGTTAATAGTTATGAAATTTATTCATTCATAGCTAAATTTGGGAAAAATCCTACTATAGAGAGAAGTTAATCAAACCATGAATATCAGTGTTTCTTAAAACTTTTCTGGAAAAAGATGACAAAGACGTGAAAGTTATGCCACTCAGTAGCAAAAGAAAAGATGAAATGTGTGATTTTGAAATACAAATTGTTGAAAAGCTGAAAACAAAAAAACTCTAAGTGCCGCAAATGGATGAATCGGCTAATCCTAGTTACGATTGCCACGACTTATTTACCAGGGAGTGACTTCCCTTTGTTTATTTTTACTAAATTATTTTAGGGTTCAGGTTAGGCATAGGGATCAATGTATAGGGTTCAGGTTAGCGTCTATTCAAGCTATTTTGTGAAAAACAAATTGCAGACCATCTGAGACTTTTACTTGAAACTGAAGTAAGGTGGCTCTCGAAAGGAAATTGCTTGAAAAGATTTATGGAACTATTTGACACTCTTGTTGACTTTTTAAGTGAGAAACCTGAAATGAAGTACCTGTTGATGCTAAAGTATTTGTGAGTTATTTATTTAGAGATATCTTTGAAAAACTAAATACTGTATATTAAATAACCATCTTCAAGGAGCAAATAAAGACTCTTGTTGATGCAAAAGCAAAGATATTTGGTTCTATTACATTTATTGAATTGTGTCAGAAATGTTTGTAACAAAAATGTTGAAAAGTTTCATTGGCTCAAAAAAAGTGAAGTGATTGATACCGCTATTAAAAATTATATATAACCTTGGGGAGGGGAGGGGGGGGGCATATGAATTTTAGAAAGGCTTTGGTGGGGCGTGGCACTTAAAAGGTTGGGAAACACTGTTATAGTCTATATAGTGACTTAATTGTGTTAATAAAATTAGGCCTATGGTACTAAGGTGCAGTTTGAATTTATTTATTTTCTTCACTCTGCAATAGTGAACACTACTATTATTATTGCTAACAAAGCCAAGGCCTTGTAAACATGTCTTAATTTATTCAAGAGTTGATGTGTTGACAGTGTAGGCCCTATAATATCAGCCTTATACTTATGCACATAATAACATATGCTATATGAATATTTAATACTAGAATGAATATAAATACTCATTCATAGTATAAAGCTGAGATTAAGTTGAAAAAAAAAAAAATTCAACTCAAGCAGTTTCCAGAGGAATTAACAAAAAAGGCTCTAACTCAAACATTATGTCCTTTTCATGTCACATCATTTACTATTCCATTGTTAATTGTTTTTACCATTATGCCTATGTCCAATATATTTTTATACATGCTATTGTTTTACAGTCTTGTAATGCAGGGAACTTTTTACTGTTTCTTGATTCTTAACAATGCAGAATCATGTATAGTTAAATTAAGCACATATAATGGCATTCTAAGGTGTCCTGGAATTAAATATTATATTAGGTGTATGTTTTGTTAAATAACTTTAGTCATAGACAGGAAGTTCATGCTTTCCCACTGCCATTGTTTGGCGGTCTATAAATAGTATCTATATTTATACACAGATAAACTGTATACATTGAAACTTGTAATTATGGGATGTTGGGGATGCTTTCAGGCTCAGATCGTATTTTGTCTAAACTTTCTTTCTCTTATATTCACTTGCAATAGATTCCTGGCTCAAGAGTGTGATAGGACCTTGTCTTGCTGGTACAACAGCCACTATAACAATTATCAAACAAGGAAAACTCTACAGTGGACATGTTGGTCATTCTGCACTTGTTCTAGGGGAAAATGATTTATGTGGTGGAGGGAATCTTTTCCAGGCTATTTGTATTACAAAGGTAAGTTAGTTTATAAAATAAAGAATTAATTATCAAGTATTTGTATTGCAATATAAAATATAATTATTTTAAAATTTTTATTCAAGAAAGGATAATTGGATTTCCAGGACAGATATATACAATAAATAGTCAATAATTAGATTAAATGACAATGTATTTAATTTTTGCAATGGCTTTCTAAAGACTTTATGCTTACAATACTATTTCTTCCACTAGGACCACAAACCTGATGATCCAGATGAACGTCTTCGCATAGAGGACTCCGGTGGGAAAGTTATTGTTAAAAGTGGTGTGCCACGAGTAGTATCCAGAAAACCAAGAACGAATCGTGAAAAATTTCCTACTTTGGCAGTTGCCAGGTCTCTAGGTACATTAAGACAAATATTTGTATTATACAGCTTTATGAACCCTTCCTATTCACTAATTCTGTTACCTATTATAAAACCAGGGGCCTTCTGATATAATAGCTTTTAAAATGGACAAGACTTTCGTAGATGTAATGGAAGTATTAGCCTTTTATGTCAGTGGGGGTCTGTTAGATTTCAAATACTTAATTAACATTGTTACTAAGCCAAGAACTGCAAGTTGATTTTATTTCGTACTTGAAATTTTTCAGCAATTTTTTAAGGGGCTGGAATAAACTTAGTAGTTGTTGGTATTCAAGTACAGCAGCTATCACAGTGGGGAAGGTTAACCCTGATGTTAAAACCTCAATGTATTATCCTCTTCTGATGTTTTTGGTGTTATATTTTCAAGCTTAAATGTGCACATCAACTGGTTCTCTTTTTATAAAAAAACACGATTGCCTTGGCTTGGGAATATTATTCACAATATAACTTGGATAAATTATTTGTATTCATTTATATTGCTGCCCTGCAGTCTTTGTTTTTTGGTTTTTTTTGGGGGGGGGGGTGTGCTACAGATTGTGTTAGAATTTTTTTTAAATGTTTGTATAGTGACCAGTTGTCATCTGCCCATTATTGCAACTGGTTGGTAGTTATGTTTGCAATCCATACATTTACCATTAGTGTATCATTAATATTATTCACAATATAACTTGGATAAATTATTTGTATTCATTTATATTGCTGCCCTGCAGTCTTTGTTTTTTGGTTTTTTTTTGGGGGGGGGGTGTGCTACAGATTGTGTTAGAATTTTTTTTAAATGTTTGTATAGTGACCAGTTGTCATCTGCCCATGATTGCAACTGGTTGGTAGTTATGTTTGCCATCCATACATTTACCATTAGTGTATCATGTAAATGCATGGTGCATCTTCCTCTAAATTAAAGATCACTTCCCATCTTTCTACATGTTTCAAATATTTGACAATCTGATGGGCACTTGTTACTATTTCTTAACCTGATCATAGTGAGTCTAATATACATTTACCATTACTACCTGTAAACCAAATAATAAAGTAATATTTTAATTTTAAAATAACATTAACACTGTATATTATTGACAGATTTTAAATACAATTGGCATTTGAAAGTTAAATGCATTTGCAAACAGCCCCTTAGGGTTTTGGTTCAACCCTTCTAGGTAATATAATTATTTTAAAAACTTACCATTCCCCAGGTGACTTGTGGAGCTTTGACAATGACACTCAAAAATACATTGTGTCACCTGATCCAGATGTTGGTGTCCTTAAATTGGATCCCAACAAGCACCGCTGTTTAGTTTTGGCTTCAGATGGCTTATGGAACGTGCTGTCACCAGAAGAGTCTGTCAACATGGTCATGGATGTTGAAGCTAAATTTGAACAAGGAATTATAAATGATCCTGTAAGTATTTTAATGGTCACATGTGCATTTTTTTGCCCACCACCACCACTGTGAATAGGTGAAATATCCATGGCATAACAAATGTCCTACCAGATATCTATTTTTCTATTTAGCTCAGTTGGTAAAGAAGAGCTATTGGTTGCATTGTCCTGATTTGGCCACTCAGGAGCCATTGATATATTATGTATGGACTAATGGTGAAGAGGTGTTGCATTTGGATATGAAGGATATAGAAATTGTCATGCTAGTGTTGCAAAAAGCATGGACATAAATGCACCAATTCTGTCATTGTTATCCTGAAATTCTGACAGTTTCTAATATCTCTTGTAAACTTAGGTTTACCTCGGTTTATTTGAAATCTTTGATTTCTAGTTTCTTTTTAACAAAGTCTTTAAAAATGGCATGTTTCGTATTTCTAGTCATACTGTTGATCTGTGTTTTCACAAATAACTCACTGGTTATAGCTAAAGTAATATTTAGCATAGTGACTGATTGCGTCAGCCATGCATGTGACAAAAATTGTGGAAAAGGGAAACAAAGGAGTGGGGTGGATTACCCACAACAATTTTGTCCACTTGCTGCCACAAACAATGCAGCACATCCATATTAAGTAAAAAGTACATTACACTCCCCTCTCTTCATATGCCACTGTCCAAGAAACTATTATGACCTCCTATATTCTTCATATTTATTGCCTCACAGAGCTCCATGTGGGGCATATGCCACAATTTAGGATATGCACAATGTCATATGTCTTGTATATCTAAGTCTAAATAAATTAATTTTTTAGGAGGTGTGGGGAGGGTTATCAAGTGCTCATTGTGTGCACACATAGGGCATGCAAAAAAAGAAGGGGATTGCTTTAATTTGACTTTTTTCCTTACATAATATATGGATGGCCTATTAGTTTGCTTTCAACTGTTTGCTCATATTTGTAACCGGGATGAAACTTTCCACCATTTTCAAGAGAATTCTAATTGCTCATTGGAATATCCTCACCACTCTACTTTTAACTCTAATTTTCTCCACACATTTACTTTTAATGAAACATGACACCATAAACATTCCAGCACATTATATAATACCTTCAGTTATGCTATTGGCCTTAACATCACAACTGACTTACAACAACAATTGTCACATTCACCATTCTTTTTCAGTCTCATAACAAGTATGTGCACCGCTAAACAAAAATTATTCACAGTAAACTTGTCCTTCAATTCCCTGTATGTAGCTGAGGTTTAGATAATGGCATTATCATAAAACGTCCACACCAATTTTACATTTTAAAAGCAAACAGCTACATCAAGGTATTTAATTTTTTCAAATATTTTTATTTATTTCCAAGAATGTTGATGTTGGTCCCTGGAGCAACTCTGCAGAACAACTGGTGTCAAGAGCATTGGAGAAATGGCAGTCAAAAGCCTTAATAGCTGACAACACATCTTGTGTAGTAGTGGTAATTGACACACTTCAGCCATCTAAACTAACCTTATGGAAACAACAAAGACAAGAATTATCATCAGGCGCGGAGATGCTCTGTCAGTTGAATAAAACGCCACGTTGTCCTGATGAAAAGTTTGGCGATAAAAATACCCACTGCAGTTTACGTGAGGGTCATATTTCGGTGGCGGATCATTCCATGATTCAGCCTGTTGACCAGGAACCAAATGTGCTTGGGTGTTCATTAACTGTTGGTTCACACTCAACGGCTATTAAAGAAAGCCACAATGATAATATTGATAGCCTGCAAAGTATACAGAAATCCTGTGTTAAAAGTCTCATATGCTCTAATTATAATGCTGAGATTGAGTCCGCAGATAGTTTAAAAAATAATCGTCACTTTTTACAGAGAATTCCATCTGATCGAAATGACCACCTTAGAAGATTGACCAATCTTTATTCATGTGGAAGTCAAAACCAAATAGATGGACATGTTACAGAGTTCTCTGACAATCGTGCCTCTACTAGTGGGAATGACATTCAAATTTTCAAGAGGGTGAAAAAACCTTGGGCACTTAAGCGTGAAATGGCGTTTGTTTGTAAAGGAAAAATCGGAGTGAAAATTTGGGCACTTAACCGTGAAATGACAGTTGAGTGTAAAGTAAAAGATGTAACGAAAACACCCTGGGCACTAAGGCATGAAAAGAGACTTGAGATTAACGCTAATAATAGATGGTATAAATGGATTCAAAGATTGTGATATTAGATAGTGTGATTGTAATACTGTTTAGTGCCAACATGCCAAGTGACTGTGAAGGCAGTCTTGATAGTGTGATTGTAATACTGTTTAGTGCCAACATGCCAAGTGACTGTGAAGGCAGACTTGATAGTGTGATTGTAATACTGTTTAGTGCCAACATGCCAAGTGACTGTGAAGGCAGTCTTGATAGTGTGATTGTAATACTGTTTAGTGCCAACATGCCAAGTGACTGTGAAGGCAGACTTGATAGTGTGATTGTAATACTGTTTAGTGCCAACATGCCAAGTGACTGTGAAGGCAGTCTTGATAGTGTGATTGTAATACTGTTTAGTGCCAACATGCCAAGTGACTGTGAAGGCAGTCTTGATAGTGTGATTGTAATACTGTTTAGTGCCAACATGCCAAGTGACTGTGAAGGCAGTCTTGATGGATATATTTTGCTGTAGTGTTAATTTTACATTTAAACTTGGTCTTTTCACCTGTTTCAATTGATTTTTAAAAAACATGCAAGTTTTGACTGATGTTAATTGCTTCCTACTACGCCTACCTGACGGCAACACAACCTGGGAACTGTTTGATAAAATATGATCCCAACTATTCTGTGGTCTGTATAACAACTAATCTTTATTCCTCATTCTACATTCATTTTATACCTCACATTGCATGATCACTCACTCCGTTTCTCCAACCGATATTCACACCTTTAAGTTTAAACATTCATGAAAACAACTCACCAAGTCCCAGCATACAACATACAACAACACGGGATTCGGAAATTTGTTTGAAAGAAATTTCATCAACGGAAATTTGATCAAACAAAAGTTTTCAGTTTACACGATCGAATTTAATTTTAACGCATTCTTTTGTTTACTATATAGTATAGTGTGTTCAAAGAGAAATTTGACGAAAATATGATTGTGTAAACTGATAAAAATATTTGACCAAATTTCCGTTTGATCAATTTTTCATCTACGAAGTTTAACAATAATTGTCAGTCATACATACTATTACAGTAACTAATAATTCATGTAAACCATATTGTATTGTTGTACATTACATAATTCTGTTTTTTAAATTTTATTCATTGAGTTTTTTTAAATATTGTTTTAAGAGCCAACATAAAACACAATACATGATTTTGTAAATAAATGTTTCTTGCTGTAATGTCACTCTTGTCCCAGGTCTTTAACACTATTGACATTCTTTGTGCTAAATTATAGTATTATAACTCAGGTATTTTAAATGTTAGTTAATGTATGTGGCCTGGTGCTCTAACATTTATCACTTACACTATTGGTACACTATTGGTACACATATCTTTTTTTTTTATGTTCATGACTTGCCTGACTTGGCTTTTTTTTTGTTTGTTGCATTAATATCAATAATATCATATTAAATAAAGAAAGATTTCTTGAGAAATTTGGGTTGTCAAAATGTATTTGTGTTGTCCATTGGCTTAGCTAGTGTTAGTGCTGCCCAAGGCGGGTTGAGATTTTTGCCACCCCACTTCCATGAAAACTACATTTCATTTGGGGGAGTGGGGGGGGGGGTGGCAAGGGGGGTATTGAAGTATTAAAACAAATTCTGTGAAATTAACATTTATACCACCCATAAAACTCAAATCCTCTATTTAAGAGCTCAAAAGTCCAGAATTGAACAGTGCACATTTTTGGTTTTTAAAATGTATTTTTTTTGTTCATTGGCTTAGCTAGTGTTAGTGCTGCCCAAGGCGGGTTGAGATTTTTGCCACCCCACTTCCATGAAAACTACATTTCATTTGGGGGAGTGGGGGGGGGGGGTGGCAAGGGGGGTATTGAAGTATTAAAACAAATTCTGTGAAATTAACATTTATACCACCCATAAAGCTCAAATACTCTATTTAAGAGCTCAAGAGTCCAGAATTGAACAGTGCACAGTACTTTGGTACTTCGGATGTCTTCATAGATGTTCACTGAGCTTGAGTTGTACCTGATGTATATCACAGTCCATCATCTCTATTAGGGACACACATGCCCCTACCAGTTTAAGGGCTTTAGGCTATCATAACTATCAATATCATTTTCTAAAGTGATTTCCTGTTAAAATTTTCATTAGAATTCTGCTTAATTAAATGAATTTCTGCAGGTACCGGTAACTCTATTAATATTATGTTTTAGTTGTTTATAATAGATGAACGTAACAATTGTTTCGTCTTACAGTTACAGATCATTTCTATTACAGTTTCAAACCAAAAAAAAAAAAATATGCTTTTGAAATGGGGGGGAAAAAAAAAGTTTTGTTAAGGGGGGGGGGGGGGGAGAATAAAGTACTAAAAACAATTTAACGGAGTAAAATTCCAACTCAATTAGGAATGGGTGGCGTGTTAGGCAAAGTGTCAGATGTAAGTTCAACTAGGTACCAGATCACTAGCTCCCATGTCACCAGGCCACAAGCCTGACATGATAACTATAAGGCCAAAAATGCCACCACCTAAGACGCTACCAGGCCACAAGTCTTACACTATAAGTATAAGGCCATAAGTCTTACACTATAAGTATAAGGCCACCAGCCATAAATGTCACCAGCTAAGACGGTACCATGTCACCATTTGAAATGAGTGAAACAAAGTAGGGTTAAACCTGTAAACGGAACGCAACAAAACAATGAACGTGTCGGCAGGAAGCCTACGTCAGCGAACAAAACAACAGGGAAAAAAAATAATAATATTAAAATTGAAAAATGTCACTTAGCTTAGAAGTAATATCCAAAGCGCAGCAAAAGAAATGTGACAGAAAGTAAGTGGGTGAGAGATAAAATAGGGAAGAGGGAAAGAAAAGAGGAGAAGTAAGTTTACTGCGATAGGTCGGGACGTGGAGGGGTGGAGCTAGGTTCAAGCTGTGAAAAGAGACATGGAGTTCATACCATTTGGTGTCAATGTGACATAGGTCAGGATACGCTTGTGTTCCAAATTCACCCGACTGGGTGTGTTTGTGCTAACTACCGATCGCACATATGGAAAAGTCCGTCTTGCCCTGGTGGTCGCTTCTATTGAAGTATTTGGAGACTGGGACATCGATACCATGTCACCAGAACCCTTTTGGGGGATTTTATAGCGCATACGTTTTCAATTTCTATTGATCTGTTGTTTCTTGTTTTGTCTTGTCTGCTGAAGCAGGCAGCTCGCCGAAATGACCTTTTAATTGTCCATGTCTTTTCATTTCAAGTCCACACATATTTACATAATATCCTTTTCCACTATTTCCTCCACAAGACTTGAAGATTACGCACCATTCAAAATGCAAAGACCTGCAGAAACCAGTCGCCACTTCCGTTAAAAGGAAGTCTCGGTGACGTCTCTAAAAACAATTGAGAAGATGCAATCCAATTTTAGAAGTATGTACTTGCTCTCTATAACCACTGCTTGAGTTTCTTAATGTGTATCTCAACCTTAGGAAAATTACGAAGACTGGGCCCTGGTAAATGATTTTTCGTTCTAGAATTGAGCGATCATATCATTAGTCATATCATTACTCGGTAAATAAGGAGAATAGTACCCGGGATTGCCACCATATTGGTAGACACAACCAGTTAATACTGTCACTAAACCTAACCCTAAATCGATCCCTATGCCTAACCTGAACCCTAAATCGATCCCTATGCCTAACCCTAACCCTAAATCGATCCCTATGCCTAACCTGAACCCTAAATCGATCCCTCTACCTAACCTGAACCCTAATTCACTGCAACTATGGCGGCCATCTTGGGTACCGTTCTCCGCTTTAGCCCATTAGTCATATCATTAGTCATATCATTAGTCATATCATTAGTCATATCATTAGTCATATCATTAGTCATTCCATTGCTTTAAGTTTGAGTCTGTCTTAGTCGAAAGAAAAAAAAAATTGAAGTATTGCTATTATTTTTTTGAAAAGTATCAATAATTCAAAGTTTAAAAATTAGTAATATAGTATATATAGAGACATTTGGTATGTTGAAGGAATAGATAGGACTAAAAATAATAAAATATAGACATGGGAGAGAAAAGATATGTCGCTTAATTGATTTGTTTGAAGAATGAGTTGTTTTTTTCTAAAACATAAATTGTTTAACATCGTTTTTTTTAAAAATATGTTTGAACCTTATTACAATTGTCGAGAATCTTTACACTCTGGTTCTGTCTTGACACTTTGCTGTCTTTTTCACGCGTAACACTATTTCTTAAATGTCTGCTTGACTTGCGTTAATTGTAGTATATATGTGTATCAGTTGTATGCTGTCAATGTATCAAATGAATGCCGTCTATGTAATAATGTATGCCGTCCAAATATTAATTGCATGACGTCTATGTATTATTTGTATGACGACTATGTATCAATTGTATGGCATCTGTGTGTCAGAGATCAACAAGTGCCCTGGCGACAGTGGAAAGTAACAGATGGATAATGAACCTCCACGAATAGATTACAATATTTGTCCAGTAACAGGTTTGACTGAAAGGTGAGTGACATCAGATGTTATATAGCAGGTTTGACTGAAAGGTGGGTGGACATCAAATGTCCTAGAATAGGTTTGACTGAAAGGTGACATGACACTGGTGTAATAGGTTTGACTGAAGATAGGTGACATCACATGGCATACAAAAGGTTTATCCTGACTAAATCTTTCAAATAAGTTTTTCCGCTGTAACTTCAGCAAAATGTTCACTTCAATTTCCTGGTTGGGCTGATTTTTCCAAACAAAGATTTCAAAATGTCCTTAACCCGTCCTGTTTCAACAAGTAGGCCCACAGTATTTATTTATTAATTTTTTTCCCCGTAACTTTGTCCTGTTTAATCGCGAGTTGTAAACAGTATAGAATAGACGACAGAATAAAATGATTATCTAACACTCCTGATATCCAGCCTGAAATAAACAAAAGAATTATATATATCTATATATAAATATATATATATAATATTCATCCAAATAAGCATCACGATTTTTTTTTCAAAAGTACGCTTCTCAGACAGAAGTGTACCCACAGATAATTTTTAAAATATTTCTTAATTTCATTTTTACACACATGAAGCCAAAACGATTTAAATGTCCTGGTTTTTAATTATTATTTTTTTTAAAATGGTTAGGCCTACATATTTATCAATTTTTTTAACCTTACTCCACAAATAACAACACACCTGTTTAGATTATATATTTTTTCAAAATCATTATTTTTTTAAGTCATCGTATATTTTTTTTTAAAATTCCTTGCATTATCGATTTTTAAAATATGTTTTAAATCAATCTTGTGATAAATTATTATTATTATTTACTTAATTTTAAGTGTCAAAACATTTTTTTTTTAATTCTAAAGGGAGAGAAACATCATTATACATTCGTGGCGAGCAATAAGGGGGACAACCTGGTCAGATAATGTACATTCCGGAGTTGCCTTTGTATTATGGTAACAATTATCTGATTTACATACTTTTATCAATTTTAAAGCAGTAGGCTCAAAATATGCAATCTATCAAATAAACATTGGACAATTGTCTGTAGAGTAGGGTTCTCAAACTCAAATTATCGGGGGGGGGGGGGTGCAGGAGGTAGAGTCTGAGTGGGACTGGGCCACATCAAGTATTCCACACACACACACACACAAACCGATTATAAGTTCAATTAAGTACAACTGCTACAATCTGCTCAACCTTTATTAAATAACAGATAAATACATTTATTAAGTGTTCTCAAGAAATAGGCTTCACTTACTTCCTCCTACTCCTTGTTGCCAGAGACCTGGCAGCGCTTCTTCTTACAGCTGAGCAACATTTGGCTTGAGTGAGGAAGCAACTGAGACCCTCATTATAGCTTGAAGATGCTCATCAGTAGTTTGGCTCTGAACTTTGACTTGTTAAAGTTCATAGTTGAAAAGAGCTTTTTACACAGATAGGTATTCCTAAAAAGGCACCATATCCGCTTAAAAAACCTGGATATCTCAGGGAAGGTGGAGGGAAATTCTCTCATAAATTGTCCAAGTTTATCTGTTTTCCATTCACCTCTCTGAACTTAGAGTTCAGAATTGGACTGAAGATCACTCAGCTTCACTTGAAGCGAAAAAAAAAAAAAGGGGGGGGGGGTGAGGGGCATTTCCTCATTGAAGAAAAAAGGTTCAGCAAAAATGGGGAAAATGGCTCTGTGTGCTTTGAAGTCTGTAAACATGTGATTTAATTCTTCCTGTAGCTTTGCGAAGGCATCAGTATACTTACTACTAAATGGTGTTCCCGAGTCCATGAGCAATTTGCATGTTGGGAAATAGCAGAGGTTTCTCTGAGAAAGCTGGACTTTCCATAGCACAAGTTTTGTGCAGAATGCCTGACTTTGTCATGGACAGTGTAGAATGACCGGTTTCCAGATGAGCTAAGCAAGTTTTCTATTGTCTGTATGTAGAATGTCCCAGTGGCGTAGCTAGGGTAAAAGTCGCTATGGGCGGGCCAAGACTTTTGCAGCCCCCTTCCATGAAACCTTTGCAGTAGGCCGAAAATGGCGCTCCTCCATTTAAAGAAAAAGCCCCCCCCCCCGGGAGCGGACCAACCCCTCCGACCACCCTCCGGAAAAAATTGTCTGAACTGAATACTGAGCTCAAGCCAATAGTCTCTTGACTGATACCTGGGTTCCATTTAGCTCTAAACCATTATGTCATACAGTGACGTAGCTAGGTGGGCGGGCCAAGCCTTTTGCAGCCCCCTTCCATGAACCCTTTGCAGTAGGCCGAAAATGGCGCTCCCCCATTTAAAGAAAAAGCCCCCCCCCCCCGGGAGCGGACCAACCCCTCCGACCACCCTCCGGAAAAAATTGTCTGAACTGAATACTGAGCTCAAGCCAATAGTCTCTTGACTGATGCCTGGGTTCCATTTAGCTCTAAACCAATATGTCATACAGTGACGTAGCTAGGGTTCGCACCACCCTGGACGGGCTAAGATTTTTTAGCACCCCCCACCCACTTTACTCCACACACAAAAAAATCCGCAGCTGGCCAAAAATTCCGCCCCTCAATCTATTTACATAAAAGTGCCGCCCGGCATTATACCATCTTTGTGTATTTTAAGCTTTGTTACCGTGAACTCTGTGTATTTTAAGCTTTGTTACCGTGAACTCTGTGTATTTTAAGCTTTGTTACCGTGAACTCTGTGTATTATAAGTTTTCTTTCGTGATCTTTATTTTATTCTAAGCTATTTAGCTGTGATCTTAGTGGGGTTTTTAAAACTATTTTTGCCTTAGTTTTTTATTTTAATTAATTTTTTTTACCGTGATGTTTCTGTATTTCCCATTGTTTTGCTGTGATCACTTTTAACACAGTTACCTGCCGTCACAAAACAATGTTTTATTTTAGGTTTGCCTAGTTTTTATGTTTGTGATTAATACAAGAGTTTAGATTTTAATAGTTAAAAGTGGCAAATAAAAAAAAAATACTTTTAAAACTTTAAAAATGACTTTCTATCTAAGGCGAGTTTAAACCACACACAATTAAAAAAAATAAATAAAAATAATAATTTAAATTTTCATTACACACATTGACACATACAAAAAAAAAATTAATTAAAAAAATTCGTAAGTTTGTGCAGAGAATATTTTCAAAATTAATTAAAATAAAATATATTTACGTTTCGTCAATATTTCATTAGAATAATTTGGCTAAATATAGTGCTAATCTACTCTTCTCAACATTATTTATTTGCGTAATGCGTGTTAAAAATTTAAAATTATTTCCTACACTTCCTTGGTTTAAACTCATCTTTGATTGAAAGTCTTTTTAAAAAGTTTTTTTTTTTTTTTTAAATATTTTAAAAATGTCCTTTTGTGTGTGACGTCCTGAAGGATGTTCGACAATGTCCCAGGCATGTTGCTGCGATTCTCCAACAAATTCCACAACCTCCCCATCAGCCGGATGGCCGGTGACGAAAAGTTCCTGGCCCACTCGGCTGAGGTGATGAACACAATTGACAGCTTGATACAACATATTCATGATCCAGATACGCTTGACCAGAGTATTCGGACCATGGCAGAACTTCACGTAAATCTCAAACCTTCAGTAGGCACTCCCTACTTCCGGGTAAGATTAGAACTGTTTTTTTTTTAATAATCAGAGAAGTGAAAAAATTACCAGAGAGGTTAAAATAATTCAAATGTTTAGGAAAATAGTGTTGCCATGATTTGTCAAGTTATTTTTAAACACACACACACAAAGTTGTCAAATACTAAGGTGCCATATATTTTTTATGCCAAATATTAAGATGCCATAATCATATATGTTGATGCCAATGGTGGATTTAAGTGGGGCCCCAAAAATCATCTGCAAGGCCCTGGTTATATGAGCAGATGAGTAAGGAGCAATCTAATGGAGGAGTAGTCGTGTTGGGGAAACGCACTTCTCTCTGATTCAAAAATAAAACAGAGGTATCACAAAGTAATTTTCGGCCGCTTCATTCAAAGGTTCATCTTCTTTACACGGTCTGACGTCATCTAATCAATTCATTGTTTTAGTTGTGGTCACAGGACTCCAAGCATAGCACCAATCCTCAAATTCCATGCGTTATCTACACCCAGAGTCGTTGTGTGAGTTTTCAAGGCCCATTCACTCTTTAAATTTTAAATTTAAAAAAATAGTTTTGAGCCACTTGCACGCAAGGTGAATAAATATCCGAGGCTTCCCAAACCGCCGGTGTTTCAGGGCCCACACAACGGCTCGTTATACACTAGGTATTTCTTATCATCGTAATAACAATGACTTCATCTATTAATGCTTTTTTTTTATGCTTTCAATAACTTTTGCAGAATTTTCACCAAAACTTTCATCTCTTTATCGAGAAAATGCTGAAATGTGAACAGAATAGCGAGGAGGTGAGAGTGTGGACGACATTTATTGGCAGCATGTGCACCGCCATTTTGAAAGTGGAATCAGAACAGCAACAAAAAAAGAGGAAGTGTTGTGTGACAATGTAACCAGACTCATCAGGGTGTTTCAGTGTGGCACAGTCGATGTCATTAGAGTTTCTCAGTGGACGTCTACTCCAAACCGATGCCGAGTTTACCCTCAAACCGAGGCAGACTTTACCCCACACTGATGCTGAGTTTATTTAACAAAAGGCCAACAAACAAAGTGTCCACAGAATCCCGTCAAATTGACCCTAACGTGAATGGAGATTTATATAATTTCTGCCTTGAGCAGCTTGTTGGGTTAAAAGGCAACAAGATATATATTAAAATATAACTGCTTCAAGTTAAATTGACTTGTGTACTTTCCATACTGAATTTGTTAATTTTTATTCCCATTATCCTAAAAATTCAATGTTTCATTATAAATTTGTGTTGATACTGCTCTGCAATAATTTTATTATTTTATAAAGATCTTTTTAAATTAAATTCAAATCTTATTCTTTCAGTTACGAATTATATATGATTATTATTTTAAATACTTTTCATTGACAACTAATAGTATATACAATGACATGAACGAATTACACGTCTCAACTACAAATACCAAACTATAGATCTAGTCTTAGTATAGTCTTTATATTTTGGGGCTGTCCATCATTTTTATTTTGGATAATAATTTCTAGGATCATATTATATCCTAATGTATAATCAGTTTACCAGTCAGGACAGTTGAAAATTAAAGCAATGATTCTATTATAATAATAAAATAGCAACATCCGTTATGGCCAGGAAAATACAGCTGTGAGTTTTCATTCATATGGCATAATCATATTCATACAACTACAAGTAGTTCAATCGTATCGTCATGAAAAATTAATTTAGTAAAATCGTAACTAACATTTTAATTTTTTTTTCTAAATAATACATTATAGGGATCTATAATTAAGAAGTTGGAAAAATACGAGCCGAACTTTTTCCCCCTATGACAATGCCCAAATAAGTTAAGAATTTAGGTAGGACTAAAACAGAAAAAGAAAAGCTGAAATCTAAATCAATCAACTTCCTTTCACTTTTATGCCTGTAAATAGTAATAATTGTTATTAAAGACCGGGACCCTTCTGCTAGTCTTTTGTCATAGTCATAGACTTTTAGTTTTACTCATTAAAAAAGGTTAAGCACTATTTTGTTTCATAATTAGAATTGCCTCACCCTTCTTAATCTTAGTCTTAGTTAGAACAGGATAGATCATACAATCATACAGTACAGTATCTGAGTATAGTATATTAGGCTTAGCGGCATAGTATAGGCTATTCATTCGCAGATATTGATTTCGGTTTCAGTATATAGTATAGTGAGTGGTTATAAACGTGTTAAAATGTTAATGGCTACTGGGTGATGATGATGTATAATGATGAACAATTAATTTTAAAAGGCCTAGGCCTAAATTTGCTATTTAGGCTATTTGAAATAAATTAGTCACAAAATAATCTCTTCCATGCCAAGACTACAAGGAAATAGTGAACTACAACCTAAATAACAATTATGATTATTTAAAAATAATAATAGTATTAGTATTATATATTCATATCTAAGATCAGATATTATGGATATCTTGCTTAGTTTAGCCTTAGCCAACTAAAAGAGTTAATACATAAATATTAAATATGATTAAATGATTATGAATGACTAATAAATAATATAGGACCTATAATTTATAATTATAATAGACTTGGACTTCATATTAATATTATAAAATATTTAATTTAGTATTTATGAGTAGCTAATAATAATAATAATTAATTACTTGTTGTCATGTTGACTTAAAATGATGTCAAAAAGCAGTAACTCTGATTAAATTAAGTTGGCCTTAGAGGGCAACATAAGTTAAGCTTAATAATTTAGTGCTACTTTGTAAAGTTTGTTACTACTTAGTAGCAGGGACATAATTTGGGTAGGGCAGGGTGGGGAATTTGAATTTGCAGGTTTGATTTAAATTGCTATACTGTGGCGCCTCCAGTAATAAACAACTTAACAAGCCGCCAAGTTTTGGTTTAGCGGCACCCCCCCCCCCTCAAAAAAACCCCTGAAATGACGCCCCTGCATAGTAGGGGGGTGAAAACAGAATAATTGAGAATAGCCCTTTTTATTTATTGTTAAGTCTTAGATCTTAAGTAAAGAGTAGCTTTGCTTAAGTCACTTTAAAAATAGACTTAAAACTTTATCTAATGTCTAAGTCGAGGCTACTTTAATGTCTTTAGTCTTTAACTTAATTAATTTAAGTAACACAGTAATTTGGGCATGTTCCCTTAGATTTAATTGATACAATTATGTTTTGGAATAGTTTTCTGAAATTGACAGTGTTACCCATTTAACAATGACATAATTTCAGTTTGTAGCCTAAATTTTGCAATGTGACCATCCATAAATGATATCATTATGAATTGACATATTTTTTACACCTCCACCCTTATGTTTAAAAAACTTATAAAATTTAGACACCTCATCAAACGTCATTACCATTATGTGACCCACCTGTCCTAGGGGTGTGTTATTATTTATGTATGGTCATATGCCCATAGGCTAATATTTGTTTTCTTTAACAAAAAAATATTTATATTTTCCCAGGTCCAGAAACTATGTAATGGAATTAAAAATAAAGACTGAGGAGTGACTCAGTACCACAGACTCCGAAAACCATTCAAAAGTAATTTTCTTTTAAATGCTTTGATTTGTAAAGAATTTTAAACTGCCTACAGTTTACATACATGTGTTGATGGGATCAAACCAGAACAATATCTTTTTTATAAATAAATGAAGTAGTTAGTAACAATTAAATATTTAATGTAATAATAATTTACAGCATCCCTAAATAAAGATCAAGCTGCAGGATGCTAGGTAAAACAAATTTGTTTCCATATACCTGGTACACAAATATGACCTATGTCGAAAGGCTTAGCTTACAGCCTATCAAGGGCAAAAGAAAGAGAAAAAAAATGTCTCTTTTGGCCAAGATCAGTTTTCTCCAAATGTCCTTTTTTTATTCTTGTGGAGCTAAATTTATTTTAAAATAATATTTTTGCACATTTCTTTATGTGTCACAGTTGTTAAATACAAACCCGGACTATTTTTAAAAATGTCTAATCCAAAAATGAAAAAGCAAGTAATAATGAATAAGAAATCCAAATTTTAAAAAACTTTTTCTGTGCATTGCGTAATTTTAAACTGCCTCTCTTGTCACAAATGATTTATAAATGACTAACAGCAGTAATTTTGTCATTTCAATTTTTTGATAATTTCAAATCCCCTAAAAACATTTCCTTTTCATGAAAATAATAAACTTTTTTAATGTTATTTCCAGATCATTTTCAAGGCAATAACTGTAAGAAGAAAAAAGAACTCAACATCATCAGTATCATGGAGGGTGCATCATCCTGGCTCCAACAGTATTACCATGCAATGTCCTGTGGCATGGAAAGGCTCTTCACAACTGGGGCTCACTCAGACACAACAATTATTGTCGGAGAAAAAACCTTTCAATGTCACAGGGTCATACTCTGTGCCATCTCCCCATATTTCGACGCCATGTTTTCATCTGGCATGAAAGAAAGTGTGTCAGGCATCGTGAAAATAGAAGGGACGGACAGTGTTATTTTTGAATCTATTTTGGATTACATTTATAAAGGCTCTGATGCTGTTAACGAAGGGAACGCTGAAGCAATTCTAAAAGCAGCTTGCCTCCTGCAGATGGAATGTCTGCAGAAAAGATGTGAGGAGTTCATCTGTAAAACCCTAACTATCAACAACTGTTTTGAGCGGTGGCGTCTGGCAATATGGCACTGCAGCCAGCATTTAAAGCAACAAGCCTGGAGGTTCATCATGAGCAACTTTGTTAAAATCTCTCAGCAAGAATATTTCCTGGCTCTTGAAAAAGATGAACTTATTTCTATTGTAAAGGAAGATGACCTCAACTGCCCTAATGAAGAATTTGTCATCGAGACAGTTCTGAAGTGGGTGCAGCATGATCTTGAGGTCAGGGGTCAACTCTTGGGTGATATTTTTCCATACCTGCGGCTTCCATTGACCAAACCACAGTTTCTCATTGATATATTGAGAAAATATTCTTTTGTTAAGGAACACACAGAATGTCACATGTACATCGATCATGCAAAGAACTTCCAGCTGTTACCTGCACATCGGCATGACAGCAGCAGTCCAGTGACATCGTATCGAACAACATCCTCCTTTGAAGATGTGTTGGTTGTCATCTCTGGTGGGGAATCTCCACGACCCCCTTACATCAGGTCAAAGAATGTCTTGGCATTTGGCTTCAACAGCCGCAAGTGGTTCCGCCTTGCTCCTCTGCCGTATGATCCAGGAATTGAATTTGCCACATGTGTTCATAACAATGATATATTTGTGACAGGAGGAGGGTTGTACAAATCTTGTTTTTTACGGTACCGCTCTAAGAAGGACAAGTGGTCTCAGTGTCGTGCCAAGTTAAAGAACGGTCGTAGGAGACATGCCATGGCAGCTTGTGGTAACAAGATTTATGTGATAGGGGGCTACAACAGTGAACTCGATCAAGGCACAAAGGTGCTGAGCTCCATAGAGGAGTTTGAGTTGGGCTGCAGTGAGTGGGTGGAGGTGGCCAACCTGGTGGTTCCAGTCAGCTCTATATCTGCCACGGCAACCAAGGACAAGGTGCTAGTCTTTGGTGGAGAAACCAATGACCGCACTGACACAGCATCCATCCAGTGTTTCGACACACAGACTCACACAACAAGCATCATCGCACAGCTTCCTTTAGCCTGTAAGCTCACCAGGGCTACGGTCTGCAACAATTGTAGCTATATCATTCTTTACAATGGCAAGATTGTCCAGTTTGATCATCGCACTGACAGTGTCAAGGTCATGGGACATATACAAAACTTTGATTGTGTTCACTATGGACTTGTACATCGGAGGGGCTGTTTGCTGTTGCTGGGTGGTCAGAGGATCATTCCAGGACCCAACCCTGTAAGGGCCTTAGTGGATACAATGCTGCTTTACGATGTAAGAAATCAGAGGGTAATCATGCTGAATGATCGGATTCCAACCCCAAGACTGGTCGACAGCTGTGCCAAGATAACGATAGAAAAGAAGTTTTTGGTAACTGAGTTCACAGATTCATCCCAGGCATAACTTTCAAGTAAAGGGCTTTTGTTGTTTTTCTTAACCATGATACTATATGTTGGAGAGATTTTTTTGTTGTTGGTGTATTGCATCCTTAGAAAACTATTTGCCCAGGGAATAATATTTTATAAGATAGGGTCTTGTTTCTTGAAATTCAAACAAGACTGTTCTGAACTCTTGATTTGCAAAAAATTGGCAGAAGATCAAACATCTTTGACATGTATTTATTCATTGTGTCAAAGAATTAACTGGCGAGGCGTAGAAGTATATCTACTAACAAATAAAAACAGGATAATTTCTTGAGATTTACCATTTCAAGGGTGTTACATTATTTTGGGCTTATGCAAACCAACGATTCATAGTTTAGTTAAATGGTACTGAACTGTTATCCTTATTAAAAAAAACATCATTTCATAGGTATAGTTCACCACAGATTCAATAGAAAACTATATTTTGTATACCGGTAATTGTAAATAATATGCATGCATAGTTAAACTATAAGCTTTAATATGTATATAAAGTTAAATTAACAACTTTAACAAATAATTAATATTTAAATTTAAATCCTCTAATTTTTAAAAAATACTTCAAATTAATTTAAATGATCTAAAACTTGTTAGTGCGCGCCTTAGTTTTGTAGTGCGATAGGTGCTTGTTACTAAATGCTACTGCAACAACATGCTCTAGTTTTGTTGTGTGATAGGAGCTTGATGCCTTAATCAATCAATTATTACACTAGATCTTTTTGCAGGTGTTACATTTCCAGACTCATGATTGTCCTAACACATTTATGCTGTATAACAATCTGCCTGTAACCTAGAAATCTAATTCTAACATTATGCTAACGTGATGATTTTATTGGTCAGTCTAGGCAGTTTTTACTTAATTAAACTGGCTCCACATGACTGTGTTAATCACTGAAGAACACCGAATTTGGTCACATAAAATGTGATACAAAATAAAATATGATGTGCTTTCTATCACTATCTTATTAAAATAACAAAGCAGGCCTGCACAACATACTGCCCCGCAAAGTAATGAAATATTCTTTATCCTTATTATTTTCTTAATAGCTTTTCCCCCTGTACTATTTTCTTTTGGCCCGCACAAGCCCTGTCCTATTTTTTTTTGGGCCCCCATTTTTTCATAAAGTATTACTGCCCAACCTACATTTTGAGTTGTGCAGGCCTGGTTAAAGGTATTGTAGATTTTAAATGCATTTCAAGATTAACCTGAGCTAGTAGTTTAAAGATTTTTTTTTTCTATTTCATTAATGTGAGTTATCTGCTTATAAATACTTTTGTAGCATTATTATCCTTTTTAACTGGACATTTTCATTTGATATGAAAATGCATGAAGATTCCTCTAATCAAGGATCTCAAACAAAACACAGAAGACCATAACTACTTGACCTACTCAATAATAGGAAAGGGGTTTCGCTTGGCCTAGCATGCCAGAAGCATTTTAGTGTTTTTAAAAAAAAAGATATGCAACTTGTAAAATTTACAAAAAAATTAATTTTAAAATCGTTAATATAATTTGACTTGTCTTCTTATGTTTCAAATTTAAAAAAAAACAAAAGTTTTTGCACAATTTGGGTCTCATTTTTCTGCTTAACTGGCAATATTTTTTAACATTAATTCCTTAATGGCTTAATAGGAGATTTTCTGTACTTGAATTTAGTCCCAAAGTACTCTTATTTCCAAGACTGTGCCCCTGATTATTTATTCCACCCTCTTGTTTGAGATTCAATGTCCATTTTTCATGTTTAAGATACAATGTCAATTGAACTCCATGCTTGAGATTCACTAAAGACTGAATAATGTTAATCCATGAGTATCTGGTATCATTGCTTCCATTATAGTGTAAGAAGATGTGTCTGTATTGTTATTGTTTACATGTCATTTAATAGAGCTCACCAGCGTGCACAAACAATCACAGAAAAATAATAACAAAATGTACATAAACCAAATGTTGTTGAGCTGTTCCACATTATTGTATTATTATTGGTAGATGTTTATCCTTACATGGAAAAGACTGAGTGAATCTGTGCATTGTAAAATATTTTTGTGATACTTTGCACATTGTAGTTATTGAACCTGTGCACATAATTTAGAGCAGGGTTTCCCAATCTGTGTTGTTTGCACCCCCCAGGTGTGCTATATTGCAATTTAGGGGGTGCGAGGAAAATGGATTTTTAAACAGAATAGAATTGACTTTTGAGTTATGATATGAATTTGTATATATTTTGAAATTTCTTCATTACTTTTGAAATAGCTCACCGGTTTATTTCTTAAGTTCTACAATTCTATTTTATGTCCCTATAAAAATTATAAGCATATTTTCCTTTCCAATTTTGAAATGCATTTTAACTCTTGCAGACGTGGTCAAACAATTCGTAGAGAGTGCATGACCATAGAATAGGTTGGGAAACCCTGATTAAGAGGCTGTTCTAATTTTCCATGACTGGCCCATTTGCCTGCAGGAAACAAAGAAAAAAATGAATACAGTTAACAATAGGAGACCGGAGCCATGACTTCATTTCTTAAATTGAATTTTGACTGCCATAATTTGAACATGTTTTTTAAATGATACTTATTTAAATTGTACTGCCGCAATTATGCAGTTAATTAATACATATAGTTCGTGTTCAGTGTGTTATCAAAGCATTAACAAAACTAAATGTACTGTGATAGGAGCTTAATTATAACAGAATCTATTTATTCTGTTTAATTGATACTAATATTTAATTGCCACATTGCTTGATAGAACTCTATTTTTATAAATTGTAGACTTTGTTATTAGTTCCTTTTTTTTTTTTAGCTTTTTCTCCTCAGCAAGTGTAGGCAGTTAAAGAGCCAATGCAATATTCCACTATAATTTCATGACTTTTTACTGCATGAAATTTCTTTTATTTTAAGGCTTATTTATTTAAGTTCAGTTATTGTAAATTTGATGTATTTTACATTTTTGAATGCACTGTTTTTTATTTTATTTCCCGCATTGTAAGTTGAGAATTAAAAAGTTTCCTCTGTGAATAGGTTGACTAAGTTTATTTCTGAAACTGTTTGAAGTGGATTTAAATGTGACAACAATAACTAATAACGTTGGTGTCCTTGAAAACAACAATTTGAAAAACCTTTAATTAGAAAATAAAGTTTTGTTAAGTAAGTCTAGTTTATTCACATTTTAGGCTATGTAACACAATTTATTTTGAGAAGCTTTCATTTCATAAGTATGCTATAGAAACTGGAATATCTCAAATGGCATTTTGTTACCCGCACAGCAGCAAAAAGCAGTTGATGGGTCTGAACAGAAGGATGTGGTGGAGCAGGCTAGAGCCTTACATTTGAAGTGGTGCCAATGATGATGTTGATTATGTATTTTGTGATTAAAAATGTACACGGGCTAGGAATTGAAAGATCATCCCGATGGGCATTTCTAGTCCCTTAAAAAAAATTAAACAGGTATTTTGCCAATAGTACAAAAGTAGACTTTGTTAGAACTGATCAAAGCTTTGACTTTGCTAGACTAGAACTGATCAAAGATATTAATTTTTAAGGTAACCGCAGTTATGATTTATATAAAACCTGCTTTTTCAATTAACTGAAATAGGGTTATGATTATTGAGCCAATCCGATGCAATTGGCCACATGCAGGCAGTCTAAAACCAAATAAGCACCGGGTAAAAAAATAAATATACTTTCTTTTTATTAGTTACCAGGACTAAATAAATCAACACTTCGTATTACCAAACATTTTCATTAGGAATCAGGCGAGCCACTGAATGTATTACATCAAAGATGTACGGTTTCGGTCAGCAGAGGAACATGTACGGAAACTACATTGAGAACATACAAGGAACGAGGAGATCCTAGGATGGATTGGATGACATAGCCCAGAAACATAGTTACCAGGCAAAGAATATTTATTTATTTAGGCATTTTTATATAGCGCTTACCATAAAGCTCTAAGCGCTCTACAATTATGAAAAACATGTAAACTAAGTAAAATAAAAATAAGACACTAGGATAGTAACTACTATACTATATAAACAATGAAAATGGCTATAAAACGAGGACACTTTGCAGGGCACATCTCAACATACTCCATTAGGGCACATCCTAACCCATAAGGGCACATTCCACTCCTTCCACAGCAGGGCACACCCTATGTTCCACAGCAAGCCGCATACAATTACCAAATCTGGGCACATACTACACCTACTACAGCAAAACACAATATTCTACTTCTACAGCAGGGCGCATCCTACACCTACCACATTAGGGCACATCCTACATCCGCCAAATTAGGGCACATCCTACATCCACCACAGTAGAGCACATCCTACATCCATCACAGTAGAGCACATCCTGCATTCACCACAGTAGAGCACATTCTACATCCATCACACTAGAGCACATCCTACATCTACCACAGTAGAGCACATCCTACATCCATCACAGTAGAGCACATCCTACATTCACCAAAGTAGAGCACATCCTACATCCATCACAGTAGAGCACATCCTACATTCACCACAGTAGAGCACATCCTACATTCACCTCACTAGAGCACATCCTACATCCACCACAGTAGAGCACATCCTACATCTACCACAGTAGAGCACATCCTACATCCACCACAGTAGAGCACATCCTACATCCACCACTGTAGAGCACATCCTACATCCACCACAGTAGAGCACATCCTACATCCACCACAGTAGAGCACATCCTACATCCACCACAGTAGAGCACATCCTACATCCACCACAGTAGAGCACATCCTACATCCACCACAGTAGAGCACATCCTACATCCACCACAGTAGAGCACATCCTACATCAATCACAGTAGAGCTTATCCTACATCCACCACAGTAGAGCACATCCTACATCCACCACAGTAGAGCACATCCTACATTCACCAAAGTAGAGCACATCCTACATTCACCACAGTAGAGCACATCCTACATTCACCACAGTAGAGCACATCCTACATCCACCACAGTAGAGCACATCCTACATCCATCACAGTAGAGCACATCCTACATTCACCAAAGTAGAGCACATCCTACACCCACCACATTATGGCACATCCCTCACCTGCACGGCTGTTTACAGCTAAAACCATCATCCTCTGTTTAATGCAACAAAAAGGGAAATAGGAAAGACGAAGAAGACCCCAGAAAACTTGGAGGGAGACATTTCAAAGGGATCTGGAGATTAGCCTTGACATACTGAAAAATAAGGGCCAGGCAGAGAGGGAGAGAGAGAAACCAATGGTCGCGCAGTGCACCTGTCCATTGTCAGTTAATTTCACAGTTTATAGAAATAAATACATAGTACTTTGTATACAGAGGGAAATAGATTAAACTATCAGGGGCAACACAACCACGTTGGGCTTGTAAAATACAGAAAGAGGTGCATACTTTATAATGATAATTCCAGATGCAAGGATTATGGCGGTTCTTTTGCCCACATGGATCATTGTGCCACGCTACTTTTGACAAAGCCTATTATAGGATTTTTGTCCTTTCCTATTGATTGATGATGATTGAATTCTTTCATAGCGTTTGTGCCCGTGCTATATTAGCATGCTCACGGCGGCGCTCTGATGTCCTAAAATCTTTTTAAAGAAAAATGTATTTAAATGTTTTTTAAATGATTTTTTAAAAATCATTTTCAATTTCCCTCAAAGATTGAGGCAAACTGTTCCATAATTGAGGCGCAATAGCTTCAAAAGAGCGCACTACGATTGAGTATGACTTTTCTCTGTTTCCATCCACACTGGCTGGGAACCCTCAGAAAGGACTGTGTTGAAGAGCGCTGGTTTCTTTAAGGACACATGCTTAGAAATGAGTTTTTGAAAATATTCAGGTGAAGAGCCCTCTAAACGACAGGGACATAATTTTGTGTTCAATGCGCCCACTCGCAGGAAGCCAGTAGAAGAACTGGGGTGATGTGGTCAGATTTCTTTATTTGCGCTACAATGCATGCTACAGTATTTTGTTATACCTTCTGGAGTCTCTAAATTTCGTTTTGTGGTAAACCCCACAAATAACTATTACAGTAATCTAATCTTGATAGGATTAGAGTGACTACTACGACATTGGCAGCTCTATTATTAAGTTGAGGACGCAGCTGACCCATAGCGCGTAGATGACAGAAACAAGCCCTGACCACAGAAATGATATGAGGGATAATTGTAATTTCGCTGTCAGTTTATAAGCCATGGTCTCTAACAGTGATGGACAAGGGGATCTCAAAAGCACCCACTTTTATCGATACGATAGCAACCTTCCGAAGATTGGCATCAGAATCACATATTTTTGCCTCTGTATTATTGTGATTTAATTTAAGTCTGTTTAATGCCATCCATGATTTCACCACAAGACAACAGTGCTCGACAACTTGCACAGCAGCTGTACAGTTCAAAGGTTCAGGGCGGAAACATTTGTACAGTTCTATTTCATCCGAAAATAATTTGCGGGAACTACCATGACTTTCAATAATGCTGCCAAGCTGGCTAGTGTTCATGGAGAACAGGATATGTTCTAAAACAGCCCTGTGGCAGCTGCATGTAAGGGAAGTGTCCATGGAAGATGTTTGATCACTACAATATGCTGAGTCATGTCAGTTAGATAAGAAGTAAACCAGTGAAATGCAGTTCAAGAGATGCCCCCTTTATTCAAAAGTCTTGACTGAAGAAGTTCATTGTCAATCACATCAAAAGCAGTACTGAGGTTCAACGGGACCAATAGTGTCAGATCACCGCAGTTAGCACTACAAAGAACACCGTTCAAGACGCTAAGTAGTGCCGTCTCACAACTGTGTCCAGTTCGATATGCAGATTGAAACTTATCAAGCAAGTCATAAGTGATAATATGCTGCACAAGCTTCTGAATTTTCCCGAGAAGGTCCATTCACCACAGAAAACATCTTGCGAGAGTCAGTACCTGCTGCCTCGAGCACTTTACAAAAGCAGAGACTGAACATGCTCGGACTTGACGTGCCTGATTTCTTGCGCATACACGTTCCTTGCTCTCCGAACCGTTTGTTGTTCCACTTCACGACCACTTCTTTTCCAACGCTTCTCAGCTCGACGCCTAACAAGCTTGGCTTTCCGGACCGTGGGAGTGCACCAGCGGAGTCAGATCTGTCACTAACAAACTTAGCTGACAATGGGTATTTCAGCACAAAGTGTTTAACAATGAGTTACATAGTTCTGGGTTTATCATCATCGCCAAGTATTAAGAGGAGATGACAATGTGGTAGACCTCTGTTTTGAAACTCATTGACGTAGAGATGTCTACTTTAGTGTGCATTTGGTGCGTACGTGATCAGACGCATACTATGACGGAGGAAGCAGCGAATGAGAGTGCAGCACGGTGTGCGAAGAGAGCGGGACGGATAAGATCCACTCGGGAATTATTATTATAGATATAAAAACATGTATCTGACCACCATCAAGTGGTTTCATCAACACATATATGAACCACACAAATTATTATTTTAAAAAAAATACTACCAGCATAGAAAACTGCACACAAAAAACGATAAAACACATTATTTGCAGCATACATGTTAAACATTACACGGAATTTTCATTCAATAACGTTTTACAGTGATTCTCATCTTCAGATAGTGCCACTGGGATGAGTTTTGGCAATTCCGCTCACGTAGCAAAAATTGTTTCGTGATTTTCTACCTTTTAAAACCCGATCAATCAATCGGGAACAGGTCTTACCGCTATCAGAAAACAGGGTCCGAGGTTTAATATTTGGGAAACCGCCGTGCTTAAAGTTTATATCGTAATCATCGCTGGCAGGCAGGATGGAGCACTTGATCAAATTGGAATACGTCACAT